AAATAATCCGACTAGCTCAGAGATAAGGGACTGTGAGGGGAGGAATATTAGGAGAAGGGTAAAGGTATTCAAAAGAGGCTCTCACCCCAGGAGAAGTTGCTACTGCCCTCTTTATTGTGGGTTGTCCTTGTGGAGAGCGGGGCAAAAGAGAGAGAACAGGAAATGTCAGGGGATCTATATAGGTTTTGGACAGGGTGGGCTTTCCTGGCTCTCTGCCAACCCTGTTAGGGCAGGAAGGAGGGGTCCAGGGGTTGTCTTGATCAGAGTCACAGGGTCCTGGGGAATGGGGGGCAGAATGCCCATGAGCTCACTGTAACACACCACAACTTGATCCCCAAACTATCGATGATCTAATAAATCCAGAAATCCATTCTACACTCTGATATGATAACCAACTGCATAAGAGAAACATGTGAAAACTTCCCAGTTAAAGGTCCCTTTAAAATCTTTAAAATATAAGCACTTATCTTTCTTTTTAAAAAATCACATTTCTAATTAGAAGCACAGGTATTATCCATCTAATTTTCCAGTATTTTATGAACTCCGATAACTTTTTCAGGTTAACATCACCTGAAAATCTTATCAAGAAGCTCTCTTTTCTTCTTTTATGTTCTTCTATATGTTAAAAACACATCTCCCCATATAAAAAAATCACAGATTCTTTGCTTTTGAACATGCTTCCATAGATCTGCAAGTCCAACTCCTTTGCTCAAAGCTGGATCTACGGTGTACATTGCTCTGGGCCATTCCAATTGGGTTCTGAATGTCTCCAAGACAGAATCCACAACCTCTCAATGTGACCTGTTCCAATGTTTAATTAATCTCACAGTCAAATCATTTTTCTTATTTGGTTTAAATTTAATTTTCTGTACTTCAATTTGTGCACATTGCCTCCTGTCATTATACTGGATATTACTCAGGTGAGTCTTTTCTGATGTTGATCATCTTTAGTCACCTCTTAGACTCCCCCTAACAGTTATCTAAACAGACTGAGAAGCTCCTTCTGAGTCTTCACATCTCCAGGCTGAACAATCCCAGCTTTTTCAGCCTCTCCTCATGTGAGATATACTCTAGTCTTCATGATTTCATGCCCCGTACTGGATTTAGTCCAGTATGTCCATGTCTCCTTTGTACTGAGGAGCCCAGATCTGGGAGCATTCCTTATGTGGCCTCCCCAGGGCTGTATAGAGAGGAAGGATCACCTCTCTGAGCCTGCTGACAACAGGTTTTCTCACCCAGTGCAGAATGGGGTTGACCTTCTTTGCCACAAGAGCACATCACTAGCTCACACCCAGCTTTCATCCACCAGGATCTCCACCATGTCCTTCTGCTATTCACCTGCCAGTTGGCCCTGAGTGTGAACTGGTGCATAGGATTATTTCTCCAAGTGCTGGACTTTATATTTCCTGTTATTAAATCTCTCTTCATGATTTAATTTTCCTGTTATTAAACATATTTTCATTTCCTGTTCTCCCATTTCTCTAGCCTGCTGAGATCTTTCTGGTTTTCAACATGACAGTCTGATGTATCAGCCATTGCTCCAGTTTTGTGCCATTTGCAAAGAGAGTGAGAGTGGCTGAGAAAGAACTCGGTTCCACATACCCCATCAGAAGCCACCAGGAGTACTTCCTAGTGACTGGTCTCCAGCTGCTATTTAGGCTGCTGGTTACAGCCATTTGAACCTTCCATTCCAGACAATTTTCCATCTACTTCACTTTTCATTTATCTAGCCTGTTCTTCTGTGTGTCTTACTCTTACATGAATCTCTCTCAATCTTCCTTAATTCTTACCAGCTAAGGAGGTAATTTTGGAATTCTAATTACTTCCTATCATTGAATGCTATCATTATAATGAATTCTAATTGACAGATTCTATGCTAGTCCTTAAATTAACTCAGCCTTAAGTTTTTCCACTTCCAGTGGGACAGATTGTACTCTTGGTATTACTATACTATGACTGTATTTCTTTCCTCTAAATCAGTCTTTCATGTGTGCATTTGCTCTGTACTTTCCTATTCTCTTTACTTTTGTCAAAGATTTGTTTAAAAACCTTTACTTGGATCAAACAAATTATATGTTCTCCCTTTTCAAATAGACCTTTGTAATTTCTTTTCAAAGAATTCTAAGTCAATTAAGTTGTAATAATTCTATGTGAATCTGTATTTTAAAGTATTACTACTACTGTTAGTATGACTACTCCTTCTCCCTGCCCCAGATGTAGTCTCTAGATCCTTCAACATAAACTATAGTACTACTTTATCATCTTATTTCCTAATACCACAAAGAGATTTCAGGTTACACCAATAGTGAAACAATCAAAGTAAATGCTTCTGGACTCAAAAATTCCACTCTTCCTCCCTCTATGCTGCTGTTTAAGAACAATGCATGTTAAAGAAAGAAAAGGATTGCCCATCCATTTTTACAGTAATGGTGTGCTTTAAGAAGTAAGAGCACAAACAAAAAAAACCTGTGGATTATTACATCAGCATTGCTTCCACAGACCAAAGTGACAGGACTTCTTCAGATTTCAGAGAGGACATTTGAACAATGCAGACAGTATATATATCACATACAGAGATGAAAAGTGAAAGTAAATATCTGAAAATTTCAGAAAGAATAAGGTTGAGGCATCACAATCAACATATCACACATTTGGGGTTGCAAATAGTGGCCAAAAGGATGATAGGTAGAAACTGAATTCTATTAGTGAAATGTAGCCCAAAGTGAAGAGAGGAAAGCACTTCAAGAAACTAACTACAATCAACACTTTATACTCACAGAGCACCTCTTGTTGCTGAAGGAATAAAATATTTATGGGCCTTACAGGTTCTGCTGTGTTCTTGGCCAAGCAAATGGTGTCAGAAACTGCAAATGCTTTCTACTATATCAGAAAAATTTGAGGACTACCACTCCCACAGCTAAGTAACACTTTTGTCATAGCCTTTGACTGATACTATGGCCTTAGTCTTAGTTCTGCAAAACCTTGTGCTTGAAGTTGAAAGCAAAAGCCATAAGACTAGATATGGGATCTATAACACTTAAAGGAGCAGCTTCAGCCATAGACAGCATATGCTCCTTGCTTCACCATAAATTCAATTATTAAGTTCACACTGGATTTGGAAGAGAACAGTGTTGTAATTTCCAAATTACTGCAAATAAAAAAATGGTTGAGGAAGTAGACACAAGGAAAGGCTGTCTGTCATTTAGGCTGCCTATCAGTCTGTCTGTCATCCATCTCTTCCTCACTACTATCTCTTCCTTTTTTCATAAATTAATTGTTTTTCCAACTGACACTATAGATTTACTAATTTTTCCAACTCCAGCTTTAACGGTAACAAAGGCAGTGCAAGGGACAAGAAAATCAGATTTGTGTTTTCCTGTAACAAATTGTACCTGAAACAGATTTCTAAGCAGAGTATCTAAAAATAAAATAAAATAATAAAACAAAAATCAAACAAAAAAAAAGGGAAAAAGGAGTATAATTCTTACAATTTATTCCATTCTGTTTTAGTTATAAGCATAATCCTCCTTCTTCATACTATTCTCAGCATGATGCATGTGCCAGCACTCTATTGATTATGTGAAACAAATAATGAGGAGAAAGCTATGTTTAAGTTTTATGCTATTGAGATTTCTTTCTAGAAAATAATTACATTTCAATGGCTTCCAAAAAAGGACTCATGAATGCTCCATTTTTCAATGCCCCAGTGTAGCTTTTAAATCTTTTTCTTTTCATTAACAGTATGCACCTGTTTATGATTAAGCTTTAATTATATTTTATTTCATACTGAATTCAGTTTTATGAACTGAACTGACATTATATATATGGCAACACTGTCAAGCACACAGGAGTGTAAGTGTTCATTTTTTCAAGGAGCTAATCATAAAATTCTAGATCCTATTATTTACTATAGGAAAGTACTTAGGTCAAAATGTCAATTTAGTTCTGAATGCAGGTACAATAATAAGAAACAATTTGTTTTCTTTATGAAACACATTCATGCTGCTTATTCTGTAGCATGTGCTAGTTCTGTAGTGGCAGAACAGATTAAATTTTAACCAAGAGATGAAACAGGCTCAATAATCAGTGGAACCTGTTACAAGTAAAACCTGCATTTTATCATTAAAAAAAATAATAAAAAAGAAAAAATGAATATACAGAAACGCATTTCACAGTTTCGATCACTGAAAGATGGTATCATGAATAGTGCTTAGGAGGACTGAATCTATCAACCCAGGATGGGACTTTTTCTTTCTTCATTTTCCTTGTTGAGTTATTTAAATTAAAAACCTTGACTGTGGGAAAATAAAGATCCTGTAATAAAAAAGACTGACAGAAAAGTTCTTTAAACTGACCTTGCCTCAAGTAAAAATATTTGTTTTAGACTCCTCACCCTGATGGCTTTTGATCATTGCAGGGCTTATCTGAGGCAATGGATATTCATCAAAATTAGAGGACTTTCAAATGCACGGGTAAATATTTATTGTATCTTGGCAATTTGCCTATTAAAAGGTCAGAAACATAATTAGAAACTACTAGGCATCTGTGAAGTATAAATTAACATGGGCATACAATAAGCATGCAATTTGCTAATAGTTGATAATAGATACAAGAAGGAAAGATGAATTTCTCAGACAGTACTACATAGTGTTAACTTGTAAGACATATGAATTGTGAAACACAAATGGGACAAGCTGTTGATTTTAGGAGATTAAATGCTTAAAAATGTTGCTGGGCAATTTGGCAGCCTTCTGTCCCATTCAGAAAAATGTGGCATATTTACACAGGTGAAGTCACATAGAAATGTGATTTTGTTTAATTGTTCTGTGGAGTTAGAGTATTCACAAACATAAAGAAAATTCTCCTTTATCTGGACTAGTGAAAACCCACTGTTGTTAAAAATAACATAACATATTAAGGTAGTCTTTCTTAAAATCTGAGAGTGATAATTTTCCTTTCTAATTTTATTTTTCATATTATGTGCCAAATAAATTATTTACCTATCTCAGAAGCAGCCACTGTGATGTTGTACCAAGGTGTCTCCTCTCTGTCAAAGATTTTGGCAGTCTTAATGGTTCCAGTACTAGCATCAATGGTGAAATACCTATCTTCTTCTGTGTTATGATCAATGAAATATCTATGAAGAAATAAAACAATAAATATATATTTGTTGTAGTATATATATAATCCAAAGTAACAGAAAGCTATATATGAATTTACTTTCCGGCTTTTAAAATCACAGACACTTTTAAAAACAACCTATCTATAATTTGGAGAAATCGAAAGTAACACCGTGTTTTATTTCTTTTGATACATAACAATATTTCTACCATGAGTCACAAAAATATAATTGCTAGCAGGTGGTATTTTGCACGGCAGTATACAACCCTGTCAAAGGTAAGATATATATGTGTTTTGACTAAAAATGATGAAATGGAAAAGCAAAAAAGAAAGCAGAAACTAAGATACTATTATTCGGCTTATTTACCTGTCACTGCAAAGCAGTGTGATCAGCCTTGGTCCCTGTTTTGAAGCACACCTCTCTGATGTTAACTTGATGACAAGGTAACACATAAGTCATTTGGAACATCACTATTACAGCATATCAGAAACATCTGGTTCCCAGAGCAGCCATTGACAGTACCCTAGAAGAAAAGCTAAACTTCCCTGCTTTACTCCCTTGGTTTCTGGGCACTTTGCCTAGCAGGGGAACTCAAAGCCTTGAAGTGGGTAATGGAAGCAGAGGGAGCACAAAAGAAGAGATTGATAAGACTTTTCTCAAAGCTGGAATTATTTACAATGGCTTTTAACAAATGAAGCAATTACAGAACTCTTCCAAGCCTTCTTGACTAACTCCAGAAAAAAAAAAAAGAAAACAAAGGAAAAATATTATTTTTATACCATAACGACTTTTCCTGATAATTTGTCATCCCTACTTTCATTCTGTGAAATTCCATATATATTTAATATATGGAAGGCATATAAAGATTAAAATTATTTATTTGCCCCATCCAATCACTCTTATTTTCACATCACCAGAATATATTTCCTAGCTAATAAAAAGAGTGATGCACATAAAAGTTGCCAAGCACAAATCAATTAAAAATAAGTTTTATTTCACTCACAATGTACTTATTTATACTAGTTGTGTAAATAAAAAGCAAGCAAACAAACATTTAATCGAATGATATATTAAAGGCAGAGATGATGTGAAAAAGTAAAAGAAAGCAAGCACTTAGAAGGGAAAGCAGAAATCTGAATGAGTCACCTTAACTGGTCAAAGGATTGAACACTCAATGGAAAAGCCAGATAGGGTTTGGTGACTTAGGGTAGATCTTCCTTACTGGAGAGAACCTGAAACCCCCTCTCCCACCTGCCTTATAGTATGTTAACTTGCCTTTTGGAACTCCATATTTTCTTACCATACCTCAAGTATTTTCAGCAGCTAAAGCACAATAGTTCAGTCACTGGAAATCAAAGAAGCCAAAGCTAGGATAGAATATCTTTCTTTTTGTCTGTTCTCCATCCTTCCTTTCAATATCATGAAAAGTGAAAGCCCCACTGCATGACTGTTGGAGTTGTTGGAGAGGCAGCAGATCTTAATTCCTACCCATTTTATGTTTTTCTGGAGCAAGGATTGTACTTACTCTTTCCCATAAGCTAAGTGAGAAACCCTTGTGCAGTTCATTATTACCAAGATTTGAGAATATCTCATTACAAAATATACCAGAAGTACCTAATAGTGAAAATTTGGATGTGCAAGATGGCAGCTCAAGTTGCTTCAAACAAGTGGACTAAGAACATCTTGATTATTTAGGTGATGGGGCAATTTTTTAGAGGTTAAATCAGGAAATTTTTTTTCAAAGGACATTATTCAGTGTATTGCTAACTGAATAGGAAAAAAAAAAACCAAAAAGCAAAACAGTGACACTGCCAGAAAAAGAGCAAAAAAAGCTAGTGAATTTATACACAGCGGTCATTGCAAACATGCTTCTAAAAGTTGCTGTGGTTCTCCATGCTTGGTAAACTCAGGACAGGAAATAAAATAAAACTCCTGATGAACTTCAGAAATTTATTTTGCTTTGAGGAATATTGGAATCCTCTGAGGACAGAGATCACAGAAAAGAACTAAAATGGACCACACAATTATCTTCTTGGCATTATTTTATGTGGCCCTATTTGTACAAGCTATAATCATCTCTTTAAGACTGTGCCAGTCTCAGTGGAGAAGTTGTATCTCTCATGTCCACAGATAACATTGACTTCAACTATTTATAAAAGCTTGGAGACATAGTGGTATCAACCTCTAAAAATCAATAAAGCTGCCATATTTTCTACAGAATCATGTTGACATATGAACTTTGTCCAGAAGGTACATGCTTCAGGTGGAGAAATGCCCCCATGCCTTACACTTTATGCTTGGCAGTGTAGGAAAACTGAACTAGAAAAAATAGTTGGAATGTTTTGATCATACTATTATTAACACAGAAATAACGAATGTTTGATTGTGTTGGGTAATACACAGATACACAAGTATCTTTTACATTATGAACTAGAAGGTTAAAAGAGAAAGTGTGAAAAGCATAATTGTCCTTCAGTTTTCTTGGAGATCTTTTACTGGTAGAGCTTACAATCAACTATGCAGTGATAAAATTTAACTACCTCTCTCCTATAGCTTTGTTTTTCTTGACTTTAGGAGTCTCCTGATAACAACAAGGATTATTTACTGAAAAAAAGAAATCAAATATTCTTTCCTGACCTGTGCTTATAGAATATGTGTACTGCAAATCCATATCAGCTTATAATACGAGAGTCTCATCCCTGCAAACATTAATTAGTCTGGACACTGTTTGCTTATTATCAACATCAGGCACAGTGACTATTCTATTAGTCATTATTGTGCTGACCCTAGAGCCATAAAAATAAGGCTATGTATTATTTCTAGCAGTAGCTTAAAAATAGACATTTCCTCATTGGGCTTCAATGAGGGAAAAACTTAAATCAATACAAATTTTTAGCTGCTGTTGTGTGTATATGACTTATAAAAAAATGTTACCTCTTCCTCTGAGCAAAGTACAAGAAAAAAAAGGAAAATATCTGTCCCAAAAATGAAGCTTGTGTAGAAAAACTGATGTTTGATTTTCTGATGAATTGTGATAATCTAACAATTCATTTTCATAAACGTATTGTAAAAGATTTTTTTTTTCTTTTTTAATATGACCATCTTTTTATAAATCAATTATTTAAGTGTTTTCTACAGAAACTCAAATATCTATTTAAAGAATTGAGGATTGGATTAATAACTTCAACTGTATTTTCTGTGTCATTAATGAAAACAAAATAATCCTGTGGTAACTCATTGTACTAAAACTTCCACTTCCAATTTTGGTAGAATAATGAAAATTTTAAAAAATTTATCCACAGTTGCACTTCCCTTTCATGTGCTAACTTTTGCATACAGTTTTAATTATTCACAGATTGACAATTCTTTTCTTCATCAATTACTAAATAAGGGAGTGGTACTTTCTTAGGTTTTGCCATGATTAAAATGTTCAGTTCTCCTCCATTACTCCAGATTCTTTCTTAAAACTGTTTTGTGCATCACATCTAAAGTAGCCATTTGCACTTCCCTGTTCCCCAACTTTCATGAATGTGTCAGTAAAACAAGTTACAGAAGATATTCCCACACACTAAAAAACCTAGGAATGCTAGTTCTTCTTCCAAGTGCTTTTAAAATATTTTGTAAAATAACTCTCTTGGTAAAGCAACTCATTTTTGTCATATGAGAGGACATTTAGAGCAAGTTTCAATATTTTTACAAAGTGCTGGACAATTTAGACCTTTATAGATACTAGTCACTTGTTTATCTACATGTTGAGAATAGAGACTAGATATATCCATAAATACAGCACATTCTTGAGCCAAGGATGCTTTACTTAAGCTTTTGAATTTACTTCATCTGATAAAAAAATTACATTCATCTGGATAATAGTGGCAACAGACACAGTCTTTCCCTTCTGCTACTACCCTTCCCTCCACATCTACTGATCTGCTTTTCAATGCTTTTTCTAGACCACAAAAAGATGTAGCACAAGTTTTGAATTTCAAAGAGTGATTTCAAAAGAGATTTTTCACCTTAAGTCAGTTGATGGTTTCTGCTCACTTAGAATACATTAATTCAAAAATTAATTTAAAATATCCATTTGAGATATTTATTTATAAACACTTACTCATGACAATGCCATGTGACTTAGCATGCTTATAACCACTGCACATTAAATCTGCACATCAGAGCGGCATGGCACATGTTAATAAGGAGACTTAATTACAAGACATGCCTAGATTAACAGCTCTCCAAAAACTGTTTATATGCAAACCAGCAGCAGAAACCAATCTGAAAGAAATTTCATTAAAAAGAATCATGAATATAGAAAACTTAATAGTCACACTATCTGAAGACAATCTGGATGAAATTAAATACCAAAACTCATCCTGCTAACACTGGCAAATGCAACATGTGCCACGTTTTTATTATGTAGTCTCAGTGAACGGAAGTGCATTCCCAGCTTCATCCAATCCTTCTGACCAAAGCAAGCCACTGGCTCTTCTGGCTTCGTTCCTCACTTTTTGCCTTTTAGTGAAGCAGTGAGTCAGTGATGACAGATATTCCCCCATTTTTGCTGAAAACTAAAAGCATTTGCGTCAATTGGAAAATTAAGCGAAATATATATGAATGATGGCCCTTGGGCAGAAGGTCACTATGGAATGTACAAATCTGCTTTCAGTATTCAACCTGTCAGACTCTAATAATGCAAAGATTGCTTAAAATGGAGAAAAATTTCAGAGGTGCTAAAGTAGTTTAGAAATATTAATTATCTCCAAATCGTTTAGGAGGCCTTCTGAAGCTAAAAGGCATAAGCATTTTCAGAATCTCTCTACCTAAATTATTGTCTTACTATTAACACCAGTCTATCACTGGATAGATAACTGGCATAGGCTGTTACTGTTCTGGTATGGTTCTATCTAGTTACTGTGTTTTAAGGACAAACCTTGAGTTTAAACTTTTAAAATAGTTTTGAGATTTTGTTTCTTTATTTTATTTTTTTTAATCTAATCTTTTAGATTAGATTAAAAAAT